AGTGCTTTTCTGGACACTCCACTCAAAGCGCTTTACAGGTAATGGGGACTCCCCTCCACCACCACCAATGTGCAGCCCCACCTGGATGATGCGACGGCAGCCATAGTGCTCCAGAACGCTCACCACACATCAGCTATCAGTGGGGAGGAGAGCAGAGTAATGAAGCCAGTTCAGAGATGGGGGTTATTAGGAAGCCATGATTGGTAAGGGCCAATGGGAAATTTGGCCAGGACGCCAGGGTTGCACCCCTACTCTTTTCGAGAAGCACCCTGGGATTTTTAATGACCACAGAGAGTCAGGATCTCGGTTTTACGCCTCATCCGAAGGACGGCACCTGTTTACAGTATAGTGTCCCCATCACCAGTACAAGTCAGAAAACAAAATGCCCCATTCTCCCCAAGTGGAACCAGGGATAAACGCTCTGAGCAGAGACAGAGAGATACATTTGGCGAGTCCATTTTGGGAATAGAACAGGCAATTTTAACTTGAATTTTAAATCAAGTCAGAGGTTCATCTGTTAGAGGGCAGGAGCAGAAAGCTCTTGTTGGTATTGAAATCCATCTTTATGTATTCACAAAGCCCAAGCAGGTTAAACTTGTTGGCATGAATTACTCAACAACTTATAATAGTGAACAGACCAAAACTTATGTAATGTGCTCAGTGCAGTTGATTCAGAGACTCCGAGAAAGTGTTCACTCAAATCTGGAAGAGGCAGGGCAAAAAACTGTCTGAACTATGGTTAATCTGGTTGCAAGAATTGACAGAAATGAACAAGCGATAAAGATACGCTCATTTTGTGTGGAACTGCTTGAAATTCGTCTTTGAACGATACTTGAGGTGGCATAGTGATTAGCATTGCTGCCTTGTAGGCCCCGAGTTCAAATCAAGACCTTGGTAGACCTATCTGTTTGGAGCCTGCATGTTCACTCCAAGTTTGCATGGGTTTCCTGCTACAGTCCAAAGACTTACTGGAAGGTTAATTGTCTGCTGAAACAGCTGGCCCTGGGGTGACTGTGTGCTTCTGAGTGCCTTGCGACGGACTGGCATCCCATCCAGGCTGTAAACCTATTTTGTACCCGTTAACTTGCCGAGATAGGCTCTTTTCACCCACAACCCTTAATTGGATGAAGCAGTTATAAAAGGGATGAACGATACTGAAGACCATTAAAACTACATAGTTAACAATACCGGCAACCTCATACAATGCAGCCCTACCTAGAAATATATAAAGTCCTCAAAACGAATACTGATCAGCCAGAACTAATCAAAATAAAAACTGAAACTCCTAAGCAAATCAAATGTCTTGTGTCAAGTGTTCAAATTAAAACAAAAAACTATTTGGCACTCAAGGCTAAGATTATTTTCATATTTGCCTTATTGGCCAAACCATCTTTATCCCTTAAAAATCACAACAGCCCAGGAAGAATCAGACAGCAGCTGCAGAAGAGATCTGTGTGCGCCAGGTAAGCTGAAAGTCTTTTTTTGTCACCTGATAAATTGTTTCTTGGCGTGAAGTCGTGTTTTCGTTAGTTCGCGGGGGTGAAAACCTGTTCCGCGAGTCAGTGACCATATTTGAGAACTTTCCAAGCATTGTTTTGGCGTCAGTCGCCTGCTACTTCACAACAACAAGAAAGAGGGAATAAAGGGCGACATTTACAAAAGCTGTGATTCACTAACCGCGATAAATGCTTTTCCAAATTGCCCCTGGAAAGAACTCAGCCTGCTGCCGTAATTTTCACCATATTCAAAACAAGGCTCCACTCAAAGTGCTTCACAAGCTAACCCGTTTCATTTGTTTGTACCGTTTTTGAAAGCTGACAAATTTCAGATAGTTTCCAGGCTTATGTGTTATCTGTCAAAAGTCGAAGGTACTACGGAATTGGGTATGGACTGCCAGGAGGATATTAGTTCATAAATTTTGGTCATGGAAGCTTCCGTGTGTTTTTTTTCCCTCATGGACACGTCAGAAATGCTGGTATCTCTTTAAACATTCCTCCTTCGGCCGCTAGATGGCGCCCCTCCGTCTACCCGAGAGTATTTTTGTTTAAAGGGGGGTATTTAAATGTCCACCCTGTCAATCAAAAAGATCAACAATCACAACAAGCTTTTCTTTCCCCCTTCGTCTCGCGTCTTTTTATCCCCCCCCACACCCAACAAAAATAAACAACAACGCGAAACATTAAAAAAAACAGCCATACGGGGCCGGTTCTGAAGCCGAAGGAGACGAGGGAAAGTCAACTTTCGCCGCGTCTCAACTCCCAAAACACACGCGTCTTTTGTTTAGTTCCCCAAATCCCTACAGAAAGACACCCCCTACTCCCCTTGCTCAACCGCGGCTTTCAGTTACAAAACAAAAACACAAAACGAACTACGGCTAACCATATCATTACCGCTTTAAAGCCCCAATTTAAAAGGGGGGCAAATCGTTTCGTTTGGACCTCCGGTCAACTTATTTGGATGCCTCGCTGTAGAGCCTCCCCGTCAATCAATGCCGAATTGAAACTTCTAAAGGGAAGCTGGACGCCGTACATGAAAAAAAGTTGACACGTCCAGCACGTTTCTCGACGTTTTTTAAACCGGTCGCCCCGGTCTTCGACGTTAACTTGGGTCGTTTTGTTTTTCCAATCGCCACACGACCGTCTTGACACATCCAGCCGACGGGGGTTACAAAAGAGGCAGTGAAACGGGGTTTTATCAGCTACCTACTTGACCAAGTAGACCCCCCTTAGTTTCATCACGGACGTTAGCACTTGACCAAATCCCCCCCTCTAAGATCGCCCGATCCTTTTGTTGCGTTTATTTTGGCCATTTATTTTTTGACTCGAACGAACAAACAAATACTAGACTCGGCGATTTCGACGCAGTTGTCCCCCCTCCTCACGGTAGTAATTTCTGAACTTGTAGTTGCGGTCGTGGGACACACACAAGCTCCCGGGGACTGTGTACAAACACCATCCCCGGTCAGTGACAGCTCCGAAACATTCAAGCTACAAAGGAGGAGCGCCTCGGAAATCAATAACTTGGTACAACTGTCCCAAAGTCCCCCAAACTGTGTCTTTCTCCACATTTACAGCTCCGCGTTACACGGCGATCGGCAAACCAACGCTGTGAGCTACCCCAGAACAGAATCACGTTGGGCTGTTTTCTTTTTCTTTTTCGTCCCCGAGGGCAAAAAGCGATATATGAAATAAAAAGACTGCAGGCTAGAAGCTAAGACCGATGGGTTGGGGAGGGGGGGGCGGGGGGTTACGCCAGTCTTCGTGATCGCCTTGTGAGAATAAAATATTAAAATCCCAACGGTCAGTTTCGCCTGTGCTCCGATTAGGGGTAGATGATGCCAATGAAATACAAACACGAAGAACCCCCCCCCCCAAAGCCTAGGGATCGCGTTTGACATCGCATTAAATCTCCTCGGGGGTTCGCCGGGGCTGTAAACAGGGACGCTCACCCCCGCCTTCAGCCGCGTAACGAAATAACCGAACTGTCCCCTTACCTGCCATGAAACCAGTCTTTGCAAATGTCGCACTCGATCATAAACCGGCTCACATCGTAGGGCTGCCGGCAGACACAGTACAGCGGGGCCGCCGCCATCTTCCTACTGTCCCCAAACAACGCAGCGCTCGAGCGGGGCGGGACTCAGCGCTCGGGGCCGGAAACAGCCGAGCGGAAGCCCGAAGTACTGAGGCAGCCTGCCCCAGGCCCTGACGTCATGCCCATCCCATTCTGCACAGTTTCTGTACCTGTCTTCTGAACCGCAGCCTTCAAAAACAAAAACAACAACACAAAAATCGTTGTACTATGAAAAATATGACTTATCGCAGCAGCATTAAATAGGAGTGTTAGATGATGAGATTAAATAAGTCCATTGAGCTGATAAAGTGATGAATAAACTTCCCGGTTTTTTATTAGCATATGCGAAATGAACTGCAGCGGTACTCTACAACTTAAATCAGATCTTTGATTTAATTGCTATTGATGATTATTATATTTAAATGGTAATACACATAGGAAGCGGAGACTTAAAGGGCATTGGAGACTGAACTACGTACGTATTGCCAGGAACACGTTCATTGCAAATAACATACTGTAACTTACAATACTGTATTGAAATTATAAGAAACGCTCAATGAGATTTGTGGGTGTGTTTAAGGGGTGTTTTTATTTTACCTAAGCGATACTAAATGTTTACCTTTAAAGTTTTCAAAGTGTACGCCAGAGCAATGTCAGCCTAGTAAAGCGGATAATGCAAAAATAAATCAATACAGGGACAAGTGAACGCCGTTTACTGAATTGCTGCGAAATAGCATTGTTGTACACTGACCTACAAACAGCATCGAGACAGAATAGGAACTGACATACTGTGAACTCGGTGCCCGGGGTTAGATTTACAGAGACATGCCAGGACTGGTTACCAGGCAAGAGTAATCTTTTTATCCGCTTTCTGTCCCAAGGCAAACACCAGCCTTTCACTATTCCAGGCGTTTGCTTTCACGTCTTATACTTTTTGCACTAATTGTGATTTAAGAGCTACTCTCTCCGCTCCTATTGAGTTCGGGCACGTAGTTTATCTTCTAATATTAAGTCTCTTATTTCAGCTGCAGTGTCTGAATTCGTAAGCACTGAGTCGCGTCTTTTGTTGAACTGGGACAGTTTTCCTGTGTGACGGTCGCCTGGATTTGCAGACGGGTCTTGATATATATGTGTGTGTGTGTTGTAGGCGCTGATACCAGCCATGCGTGTGAGCCGTGTTCTACGTGCCTGTCTGCGAAGAAAAGGGTTTATATGTTGTGAATCCCCACTGGGGGTTTGTGAGCCATCAGATCTACACGATTCGAGTCACGCCTCCCTCGCCTGCATCAAGGCCGAGGTGTGTGACTGACCAAGTGCTGAACGGCGGGGGCGTGCGTTAGAATCTGCCCTTCTTCTGTGAAATGCCTTCATCCGAGCGACAGCCTTTTGTGCGTGCGCCTGTGGTTGGGGTGGCGATGCAAACATACGTCCGTGTGTGGGAGTGTTCGTGTCTGCTAGCTTCGGTTTGTCATGCTGTGACTGCGTCTTTCGCTTGTGCACCGTTGCCTGATGCACAGTCTAGAATGATTCACGGTTTTTTTTTGTGGCCACGAATTATGAAATATGTTCTCCCAATACCATTGTCTTCCCCCTCCAAATATCTTGGAAGCGCGTTATGTCCCCCAGTCCACAAGTAACAGGGTAAATCAGCTTTTTAGCGCAAACAAAAGAAAAATGCTAGAACTGTTATCGACGCTGGGGGGCATATGTGTCTGGCGGAGTTGTGCACTTATCTTCGCTCGGGTTTTCAAAACTCTGGCCCAAACCTCTTCTTCATACAGCACACCGAGATTGTATAACACCTAAATGCACATACGTATGTCAGAAGAATGACTTATCTAACATTATCTCCAGACCAATGTTTGACACATTCAGCCTATAGAAACATGTTACCGAGTAAATGACAAATTCCTCTTTTTATTTTATTAAACTTTCTGATCCTGCTCGTTGCTCCAGTTTTATTGTCTTTTATGACCGTGGCCAGTAGATAATGTACAGTATCGGATAGCCTTACTCCTGGATGCGTAGCACGGACACACACAGTAGGTTAAAGGCAGTAACCGAAAACGAATCTGCAGTGTGGTTACCAGTGTTTCTTGAGAAAACAAATCGCCGACAAATTTCCGCAACTGGAAGATTTTATCATTAATCTGTTCTTTAAAAAGCTATCCATCGGTACGTGTAAGTATATAGACAATTCACTGCGTACCGTGAATAATGAATAATATATACAATAGTGGAAACGAATTATTGACCTCACATTCAGAAAGTTGTTGTACCTTGGACTCAGACACAAGAACTATGCAAAATACAAAAGAAAGGATGCCTTGGTATAAAAAAATATATATATATGAATATTATTCAGGTTTTTCGCCCTGACCATTTCAAAAGAGACAGGTGTGTTGTGATATTCGTGCTTGTCCGAAACCCACCCATTGAGCTTCTCAGCTTCTGCGCGCTTGCTTGAGCGTGGAGCACAAAGTAATTTTCAGTCTTTGTACCTTCCAATTCATTCCATTACTGTCAGAAAAAAATAGAAAGGAAGAAATTGTTTTACCCCCTTACATCATCATAAAATCAGTTTCAACCTAAAGACATTACCGTAAATCGTTATTACAAACAGCAATTAATTGAAAAGTGTCTTTAATTGGTAATGTGTCTGGGACACCGATAGCATTTGTTCACATTTTCCTGAGTGGTAATTAAGGGTTTAAACAGTAATGACAATGTGGTTATATGACAGATGAACACTTGAAGTGGTAAATAAAGAAGCTCTTAAAGAACCCATTTAATATATGTATCACAAATACCACGCATTTCATAACGTACAGTTGGCTTCCGCTTTTCTTACATTAAAAAGGTCAGCAGAACTTTTATTTTTTACAATGGCTACAAAGGCTATATGTATCACTGAAATTGATTTTTACCTTTACCTTAGGGTTAGTTATAAGTTAGTGTGGGGAACTTTAAAAAAGTAGGGGTTTATTCCATGTGAAATATAATAGTGGATCTCTGTGAGGCAACATCAGTTCTTCTTAGGAAAAGTGGTATGGGATCTATGGGATATATAATTAAAAAGTACTGTAATTACTGCAGTAATCTCATATCACAATTCTAAGACATTGGTTTGGAAATTTGGGGAGAGTGCCACCTACTGTTTTGTTATCTTCACTCACTGACACAGCCTGATTTTTGCTGGTGGTCTCCTAGTCCAGTGAGGCCAGTTAATACACATCTTATTTTAGCTTCTGAGATCAGACAAGGATGTGCCCTAAAAATTAAGACAAGGATGTCTCCACAGCTAATAAACTGTAAATTGAATTCCCCGTCTATTTTAGTTTTAACCTCTGCTTGCTCAACGTATTGCATCTGCTGAAAGATAAATGCACAATAGTGCAGTCAAACCAAAGTCTTGCCTGAACACTTCCTCCAAGGAATTTTGCTGGTCATCCAGATCATGATATTTAGATCCTGGAAGCTGCCAGCATGATAAGAACATGAATATAAATCTAAATGTAATAGATCTTTTGATTTTTTCATTTTAAACTTTGCAGTTAAGATTGATTGGTTGAATAATGCGTACTGTGTACAGTATGTGTAAGTGTAATATGTGTATCTTTGATGTTTTTATCTGGGCTGCATTGGGGCAAATTCCAATCAACTTTGCTGACATGGCAAAAAAGGATTGGATCTTGAATCTGGAATCATTGCATTACTAATCTGGTACTAATTGGTCAAAAAAGGATGCAATCTATATCAGAACCACAGCAGCTCATTATGCCAGAGCTCATCACTGAAGAGCACAAGATCTTTACTTTTTCTAGGGGCCAACAACAGTGTCTGAAACAGGAATTTAAACCTCCAGTCTTACGCATTCTGCTGTTCTGCCCCTGTCAAAGAGATATTTGCGTATTATTACACTTTATTTCTTCTCCTCTTATTTCAATTGATCCTCTTTGGTTTAACAATAGTAATACCTATTTGCTAACACTAGGTAATAAGTATCTGAAAAATGATTACAATGGCTTTTTCTTCAGCTCTGAGCGCAAGGAATGTGCTATTCAGTATACACAGTAGTGATCCGATTTCAAGGATTTCATTTGTTCATACTGTTTGATCTGCGGAGTAGTTATTTGGATCAATATGCAGTTTAACCTATGCTGGATGTTGAGCAACAAAAAAGGACATTTTTGATAATGACATTACTGTGTGTGATAAGTACACTAGACTGTCCTTAAAGCACATCTTGGGCCTCCCAGCTGGCCCGAGTCTTCTGCATCAAGGTGTGGATGCTGTGCAGACCTTTGCAGGTGAGAACATCAGTGTCAGGGACCTTATCATGCCACCTGATTTGCAGCAGTTTGTGTAGGCACGTCATGTTGACGTGATTCAATTGTCTGGCGTGTCTGCTGTAGGTTGTCCATGTTTCGCATGCAGAAAGTAACGTTGGAAATACTATAGCCTGGTAGACTTTCAGCCTTGTGTTGACACTAATACGTTCCCAGACGTTGGCGCCCAACCTTCCAAACACACTGCTGGCCTTAGCAATTCTGCAGTTAATTTCTTCATGTATGTTCACATGCCTGGATAGATTACTGCCCAGATAGGTGAAGCTATCTACAACGTTGAGTGTCAATCCCTTCACTGTGATACAGGGTTTCTGATAGGGCTTACTGTACCAGGGGCGAGCTGGTACATCACTTCTGTGAGACCGAAGTTGTCAAATGCTGCAGAGAACCTGTCCATGCTGGCTTGCATGTCCTGCTCGCTGGTGGCATTGAGTGCGCAGTGATCGGCAAAGAGGAAGTCCCTGATAACTGTCTCCTTCACCTTGGTGACTGCTTGCAGGTGGCGCTGGTTATACAGATTCCCGTCTGTCCTGTATCTGATGTGGATGTCTTCCGCACTGTTGTGAAATGCGTCAGACAGCACGGCTGAGAACATCATCCTGAACGGTGTTGGGGCAAGCACACACTCCTGCTTTACTCCGCTTGTCACAGGGAAGGCTTCTGAGGTCTCACCATCATCCAGCACAGGAGCCATCATGCCATGGCGTGTAATGGTGA